ACAGCCGAGAACCGTGAGTAGCTTAATGGGATCATTTTGAAGACCAGTTATAGTGGTGGAAGATGCATAGAGTCCCTGGCATGCATAGAGTCCCTGGCATCTCCAGGTCAGACTGCCTGAAACCCTGGGATGCCACTGCCAATCAGTGTTTATCATAACGAACTGGATGCATCAATGTTCTGATGTGGTATAGGGCGGCCTTGTGCTGTATGGCTCTTTTTAGTAGCTAGGTTAGGGAAATTTTGACGTCATTGGGAGTTGAAGGTCACTGATTTCCAAGAAGGGTGGAAAGATCAGGCTTTTGCCTTCCTTTCTGGAATCTCCTGGAGAAGATGTGGAGGAAACCCAACCTTCAAAGCTCCACCCATCTTGGACTTCCCCCTCCCTCCCTTCATCTCCTAGCACCTAGTGTGCTGCCTTTTCTGTGCAGCAACGCTGCTTCTGCTTTTCCTTACTGAGTCCTAGTATTCAGCATGTTCTGGGACTGTGAGCTATGCTACAATAGAGAGGTGAGGTCAGTGGTAGAGCAATCTGATTGGTCACCTGGGGCGGCGTGTGTGCCCTGCGTGTGGGGATGGGGCCAGCAGGGCAGGACGCTCCATGGGGCCTCTAAGGAGTCTGCCTGCCTCCTCCCACTCAGCCACCCTACAGCTGAGGGGGAGGCGGTGGGCGGACCATTTGGGGAGAGACACATGAATTGGGTGCTCTGCAGACTCAGCGGTGAGTGTTGCCCGGCATTATGTCACCCTCCCCAGTGATGACACCCAGGGCGGCCTGCCCCCACCACCCCCACCTTGCTCTGCTACTGGGTGAGGTTGCCTTGGAACACATGGGCTGCAGACGTCAGTAGCTGCATTTCCAAACCAGCAGGAACACAGATATCATGAGTCAGGTTCAGAAAGGTGCTCATTATTGTTGGTAAAGCTCCAGTCAAAATAAAATAAATAGCCCTGACAGTGTTAGAGAAGCCAGGATTCTCTAAACTGCACCAAACTGTCAGCCAAAATTACTGTCAGTTTCCTGTCTCAGCCTTACCTTCGCTTTCAGATAAAATCGGCACTAAGGAGATGGCAGTGGAAGCATGAATGCAAAGAGGGGAGGGGGTGAGGAAAAGGCAAACTTGGAGAGAATCTCTTCCCTTTGGGTGCTGGAGTATTCCAACATCAAACCTTCTGTCCTCATTAAGAAGCGCTGTGTGTGCAGTTGTGACATCTTTATTCACACACCCCAAGACTTCAAAGCCTTCAGGAGATTTCCTTGGTGGATTTAACATAAAAAAAATATCAGGAGATGAAACGGAGCAAAAGGCAGCCCAGTGCATTCTTGCTCTAATTAGAACTTGGGTGAAAGGAAAACAGAATCAGGCAGGAACCAATGACATGAGCATTTGCTCAGGCATATCATGCAAAAAACAAGCAAAAACAAAAAACCTGTAACATGTGAATATCCACAATCTCTCATCCTATTTCCCCCCACCCTTGTGCATACATAAATTTAAAATATGTTGTACAGATCATGCATCTCACAGTATGGATTTTTTATTTTATTTTAAAATGAATGCATATATCAAGCAAAGCTTATGGATGTAAGACCACCAAAGGTGAAATACATGCTAATATTATGCATTAAGCATTTTCTAAAATGAAGAAAATCTATAAGAAAGGAGCAAAAGAGAGAAAGATCAAACAACGCATTCCTGAAACAACACAGGAATGAAATTTGGTAACAGAAAATAGTACTGGATAAACTATTTGCGGTGAATCATTTATTTACATGAATTTAACCTCTTTTTGCTGCTTGTTTTTCATCCAAAGTTCACAATGTATGTGTGTTTAAGCAGTGCTTATTCATTAGTTTAAATCATTTCCGAGTTAATTTATGTAAATGCACTTGGTCTGTAGCTTTTTCATCGCATGAAATTGCATTTGAATTAAGTGCATTTGAAATGTGCAGTTCGAGGAGCCTTGATTGGATGCACAGGTCACACTGTATGCCCTCAACTTCTGATCAGGTAATAAAGATTACTCACTGCTTACTTTAGTGCAACCCCACTGAGGTCGGTGGGAATACATTAATGCTCATGGCTAGGACGCTGGTTGCTATTCCAGGCAAATCACAGTGGGACTGAAAAAACAGACGTCTTAGGAGACTATTACCTCTCAATGGCCATCAGTGGTGATAGCAAACACAAAAGAATGCAGTGATGAGGCACAGAATGTGCTCTTTACTTTAATATAGTATTATTGAGGTTTTTGTACAGAACATTATTACCAAAGATAGCTCTCTGTTCCTCTTGTTCTTTTACAGAGTACCTGATTGCCAGCTTCCAGTGATCCTTCGCCCCAGTTCCTGGTAATCTTTACCAGCAGAACCTGCAGGGAAAGAGAGATGCAGCACAAACGGAGGCTGGAAGTTTTCTTCACTTTTGTGGTTCAAAACATTTCCATTCACCTTGCCATGAGACCCTTCTGCCCTGGGATAGACTTTGAGGTCAGCATTTGGTGTTAGGCCAAAGAGACAAATCGACAAGGCCTCTTTGGGTTCAAGTGCAGACAGCGATAACAACATAATTAATGGTGGTAATTCACAAAACAAGAAAGGACCTACCAATAAGATCCTCATCTTTGTCAGGACTGAGCTTCATTTATTGGCCCTCATTCTATGCATTACCACACACAGGCTGTGGTTTAGCACCATCACTGCCTCACCTGAACTGGATGAAAAAGTTGGGTTTCATTTGCAAACCTTTTTTTTTAAAAGAACACTTGCCTCATGATTTATAGACCCAAGAGCCACTTGCAAATGGTTCTCCAAATTGAAACACACTCAAATATAATACAGGAAGAGAAATTACATGGCATCTACATAGAACCATGATTGTTCAAACTGCATTTCCTGTCCTCGTCTCTGTTCTTCTCAGCTGTTGGACTAGGCAGTAGCTCCCACCAAGGGAGTTCTGGGTCAAGGGAGTAGAACTGAGAAGCTGGATCTCAGTCCACAATGGAAGCAGTTGGCAGTTGGTGCTAAATGATATGGGGGACTTAAATAGAACCAATAGAACTTGGTGGGAACCCATAGGACAATTGTCAGGGAGCTGAAAAACATCTCCCCACAAAAAACAAACAAAAAAAACAACAACAACAGCAACTCCTGGAGTGTCAATAGGTTGTCTAATAGGAATGGAACCATCTTAACATGATATATCCAGTCCCCAACCTAGAAGGATAGTACAGTATTGGAGGCAGTGAATTTCAATTGCTGGGAATCATAAGTGGGGAGAGTGCTGTTGTTCCAGTCCTGCTTGGAGGCTTCTCATAGGCATCGTTTGAGAACAAGAGTTTGGACTAGATGGGCCATTGGCCTGATCCAGCAGGGCTTCTCTTACTCTTATGCTGATGGCATTGAGAGCCTGAGGAATAAACATGGTCGTATTCCCCCCTCTCTTTCCAGACATACATGTAGGTAATTCATCTTTATTGAGAACCATGAACAGTTCAAAGAGTTTTAAAACTGGATTAGCCAACACTCTCTTTGATGGATTCCCGGATTTAATTCTTGGAACAAGTTCCCAGCAGAGTGTTCCATTATTGCCATGTTGTAATCTTCCTCCATAACATGTGAAATTGGCCGTTATCAGGAAAAAAAGTTAAGTGGTTCTTAAATTGTGATCTACCAGTGGACTCTGGTGCACTTTCAAGGGAACTCTCTGGAGGCTACCAGGAAAAGAAGGGAGAATGCTACCAAAATACAAGCAGCTTCTTGATATTTCCATTCCTTGCTGAATAAGCACGCCACTTTAGATTCTGATTTATTACAACTGAAATGGGGAAAAAACAACCTTTCTTTTCAGCAGCCTTCCCACCTCACCCTGCCATTCTGATCTTTCTACTTTTATGGTCAAGTTGCACTCTTCCTGAAGGAACAGGTTCACAATATGGCACAATATGCTGTCCCTGGAGGTTCAGGTAGCCTCTGTGTCTAGAAGTGTATTTTTCCAATTGCAATTGGTATGACAGTTATGATCTTTCCTGGGATGGGAAAGCTTGGCCATAGTTCATGCACTGCTTACTTCAGGACTGGATTACTGCAATGTGCTGTATGCAGGGCTTCCTTTGCACATGATCTGGAAGCTGCAGTAAGTGCCTAATGCTGCAGCACATTTGCTGACAGCAGTGAGACCTTGTTAGCACGTAACACCTGTGCTGAGGTTCCCAGCACATGAATGACAGTGGTCAAGCTATCCTGGTGCAGAAACAGCTGTAGCTGACTTACCAGCCAAAGCTGGTAAAAAGCATTCCTCAACCACTGAGGTTACCTATGCCTCTAGTAACAAAGATTGCTCCAGGAGCACCACCAGACTATGAACCTGCTCTTTCAGGGGTAGCATAATCTCTTCCAAAGCAGGCAATTGACCAATTCCCCAGACTTGGTAACTACCCACCCACCCATAGTGCCTCTGTCTTGCCAGGATTCAGAATCAGTTGTCATGTCTTCACCCAAATAATTATTGCAACTGTAGTTTACCCCTTAAAGGTAAAGGTAAAGAGACCCCTGACTGTTAGGTCCAGTTGCAGACGACTCTGGGGTTGCGGCGCTCATCTCACTTTACTGGCTGAGGGAGCCGGCGTACAGCTTCCTGGTCATGTGGCCAGCAGGACTAAGCCGCTTCTGGCAAACCAGAGCAGCGCACAAAAACGCCGTTTACCTTCCTGCCAGATCGGTACCTATTTATCTACTTGCACTGCATGCTTTCAAACTGCTAGGTTGGCAGGAGCAGGGACCGAGCAATGGGAGCTCATCCCGTTGCGGGGATTCGAACCACCGACCTTCTGAACGGCAAGCCCTAGGCTCTATGGTTTAACCCATACACAGGCTGTGGTTTAGCACCATCACTGCCTCACCTGCGTCTCTAGTTTACCCCTTACATAGCTTCAATTCCTAGTACCCTCAACAAATGACAGTTCCCAGGATTATTTCGGGGGGAGACACACACTCTAAATGCATGGCTAGCTCAGTGGATAGAGCATGAGACTCTTAATCTCAGAGCCGTAGGTTTAGCCCAATGTTGGACAAAGGATTTCTGCATTGCAGGGGGTAGTACTAGATGACTCTTATGGTCCGTTCCAACTCTACAATTCTATAATTCTACAAAATTCAAGTGTGGATGTGAATCCCGCATGATGGGTTTGGCTTGAGGAAGATGAAATGCTACTCTAAGGAAACCTGCCTCAAGGGATACCAAAAGCATGAAGTGGTTATTCCCCTTGCACAGAATAGGATTTAAATTCAAGAAATGGCATGGTTCTTCTTCAGGAGTGGATTCAACTTAATAATATAACCACTTGGCAGCTAATAGGAATTTAATTGGATTCACGTGTATGTCTTCAACATAGCCTATGGCATCAAGCCAATACAAGAGTGTGTGTATTGATTTGATTATCCTGTATGTCCACACAGATTTAATATCTTCAGTTGTTTTTCCCTGATCAAATGAAGTGTTTTCCACTGATTAATTAATTTTAATTTGTTTTCACTTCAAGCACAAGATTTGTTTTTTATTGATAGTAAAGTATCCATATTTGTGATATGCTGCAATTAACTTGCTCTCCCTTGCCGTTAAAACCTAAAGTGCTCCAGCTTCAATAAAATAATTTATGCCCATTGACCCATTGACTTGAATCTTTCTTATTAAAATGTTGGTTTGACTTGGAAAACAAAAACAAAAAATGCTGTATTAGCTTCATATCCTAAGTTATATACCATTATTTGGTTTCTAATTAAGAAACCCCTTGCCATATGCTTGCTTTTGCTCCCTGCACAAAGCATTTTCAAGAAACATCAGCTCCTATAAAGATAAAAGAAAGTGAAGCTTCCCCAAATATATCCCCCAGAGTCTTACAGCTGTGAATAATTGGTTCCCACAACTATGAATAATTGGTTCCTACTTATGGAGAACCATTTTGCTCCGTTGCACCCAAATGGAGATGTATTGCTTTGCAGCTCAGGACAATAGTTTGCAGCTAGTTTGGAAAATAGACTGTCCTTTCACTTCCCAGGAAAGCATATCAAGCTCTGACTGTATCATTAGTGCAACTACAGCTGTATTTAGTGTAACAATTGAGTGTTATCAAAAATTGAACTGAGTGAATTTGGAACTCCTGCTATACATCAAGCTTAGTTGGGCCCATCAAACTTCTCACATCCAGTCTGGGTGTGTCTTTTTAAATCAGGGCTGAGCCACAGCCACACTTTCCAACCAGGTAAAGACTTAATGTGGATCTAAATCAACTTTGTTTGCCAAAGTCAAACTGGGGGTTTTTAAACTGGATTGTGAACTAATCTGTAAAAGGGGCTTAAGCCATTTCCCCACAAGAGGGGCTACAAATGAACAAGCCACTTGCCCCTTTTACAGACTAGTTCACAATCCAATTTAAAAAAATCCAATTGTTATGGCTTCCCACAAAGAATTCTGAGAACTGTAGTTTGTTAGGGGAGCAGAGTTGTTAGGAGACTGTCAACAAACTACAGCTTCCCAGGATTCTTTGCAGGAAGCCATAACTGAGACCTGGGAGACCAGGGTTCAATGTCCAATCAAGAGTGAAATTCACTGGGTGACCTTGGGCCAGGCGCTATCTCTCAGCCTAACCTACCACACAGGCTTGTTATGAGGTTATGATTTGGAGGGGAATAACAATGTATGCCCCTATGGGCTTCTTGGAAGAAAGGTGGGATATAATAAATGTAATCAATAAAAATTGCCAGGGGGATCTGCCAGAGCAAACAAGAACAGAGGCACTGTAGGGACAACAAACCATCTGTTTCTGAGGTCCAGTCATTAGGACATCAGAGGCTGGAGAAAATACAATTTCCCAGATTTTAGGGGCATTAAAGTTTCATTTAGGGTTTTAGCCTTGATCCCGACCCTAAAACTAGTTAGACACATAACTCCTCAGGCCAGCTCTGAAAATATTCCTTAGCTCTTGCCAGAGTTTTTTTCCCTTTTTTCTTTAATGACCTAGTTTTTTCTCTTCTTTAAGCACTAGATGTTGTATCCAAGGTGAGAAAGCATCATGTTACACACAAGAGGAAAGGCTCCCAATAATTCCAGGCACACCTTTTTAACGTGCTCATTTGAAGTTGTTTCATGAACTCTGTCGCTTAGAGGTCACACTGATGCCATTTCGGAATAATCTTCAGAGAAGCGCCTCTCTCTGAACAAAGCCCCCTCAGATGGCTCTGCTTCCCACCAAGTCCTGCTTACGGTGGAATCCAGCTATCGCCTTGCTCTGTGGTAAGCCCACATTGCCATAGCAACCCAGTGTTGCTCCACACCTTCAGAACAGACTACCATGGCTTGCAAAGCACACTGAGATGAATGAAGCCTGTTTAAAAGAAGGGAAGAAGAGAAGGGCAGGGTAAGACACAAGTCAGATTAATGGCTGGAATACAATCAAAAACAAAAGTTAAAATGAAAATGTTAATCATTTAAAAGAGGGCCTTGGTGGAATTGCTTGCTTTATGGCTTAGAATAAAAAATAGAAGCAGGGAAAGAAGTAGAAGTCTCTATAAGAATAATTTAGTGTCTGGTGTAATGAGCTTCCTTTTTCTTTGGTAGTTCACTGTGCTGCCTTATCACTTACCCGGTGATTGACTGAGTCCTCTCCTTGCTTGTTCCTGCTAAGCAGCAATTCACCATCTGGCAGTCATAATTTCTTTTTTATCCTATATTCCTTTGTAATTAGGAAATAAGTTACGTCCCACCCTGCTTGGGAAGAAAGAAACATGTCTGGCATATTATTTACAGATGACACTCTAAGGAGGTGGAGCCATTTTGTTAATGATGGGTGGCAGTGCTTTTTTCTAGCAAAAGAGGTGCCAGAACTCACCATGAACACCTCCCTTGTTCTCTTAGAATGGCAATGGTGACCACCTGAGAGGAGACAGAACCCATCTGAGAGGTGCCAGAACTGAGTTTCTGCAAGTTCTAGCTGACAAAAGCCCTGATTTGTGGGGAGTTTGAGCCCTGTCCTGAGAGCACAGTGACCCATACCCTAAAGAAACATACATTCCTATCTGGCTTCTAGGAAAAGTATTTATATGTGATTTTAATTAACACCTAAGTTTGGATTGTTACTGCTTTTTTTTATATAAAGGGTGCAGTGTGGTTTTAATCTATGCTTTTATATGGCATTATATTTTGCTGTTATTCTCTTACACACTGCCATGTGAGGGTGACATTCCATGAAGGGCAGTTTTGAAATAGTTTAATAAATTAATTTATTTCTGCTTATTTAAAACAGTTATACAGGTCACCTTTAGGAGTGAAATTAACACAAAGGATATCTTCTCAAGTGGCCCCCCAAGTTACGAATTGCTGCTACTGCTACTTACTACAAGTATTTAACATTTAATAATAATAAAAAATGCATGCAGCTGAATAAAACATGGAAGCAGAAGAGGGCTATAACTCAGTGGCAGAGGACATCCTTTGCAGGCAACAGGCTTCAGTTTCAAATTCTGGCATCTCCAGGCATGGCAGAAGAAGAACTCTGGAGAGCCACTGCCAGTCAGTTTAGGCAGGGCCAGCCAAAGGCATATTGGCATCTGAGAGGGACCCCAGCATGGTGACCCCTTCCCCATGGGGTGAGGAAAGAACCACATCAGGAACAAGGGGGAAAGAAAGTTTGACATTGGGATCTGCTGTCCTGGTGGATCCTGCCACCTGATGCCTCACCTGGCCTCATGGGCCGGCCCTGAGTGTAGGCAACACTGTGTTAGATGGATCAAAGGTCTGACTCAGTCTAATACAGCTTCTTATATTCCTACTAATCATGGTCTCTGCTCCTTGTATGATTGCTATCAGAGGGTTCTTCACACATTATGGGAGATAAAAGCAATTTATTAAACATTACTTGTTTATTTATAAGATTTCTAACCTGCCCTTCACCATAATGTCCCAAGGTGGATTACAGTCATAAAATAGACAACTGGAAGAACTGATAAAGGTGTTAGCAATTATGAAACAAGTATAACACCATTCTAAATGGAACAGAACAATATGAATTTTACCAAAAGAAGTGGGTCTCACAAAATAAAAGACATTAACTGTCAACAGGGCTGTCTTAAGCATATGCGGCGCCGGGGTGCAAAGATCCACCTGGTGCCCCCCCCAGTTGCCCAATCCCAGGTGCGCAGGAGGGCAGAGCTGGCCGGCCACCTCAGCGTCTCGCTGGCTTGGTCACCCCCGAACTCACAGCGCAGAGCCGCCCACAGCAGAGCGGCCTGCCGCGGCGCTCCAACCAGTGGGCGGGCACTTCCCTGGACACAACTCTCAGCCCCAGACTTTCGGCCTGGCGCCCCTGAGTGCCCTGCGCCTGGGTGCCCCGCACCCCTAGCACCTATGGGTAAGACGGCCCTGACTGTCAAAGGCCAGCATGTGGTGAAAACTGTACAAGGAAGGTGCAAGATGCAACTATGTGGGTGGGGGGAGTTGCACAATTTAGCAGCTGCCACAGAGAAAGCCCTTTTCTGAGCCATTGTTCCCCACATTTGTGAGGGTGGCGGAATACCAAGAGAGCCCCTCTGCAGATCTTAACACCCAAGAAAGCCAGTAGGGATGGAGATGATCTTTCAGACACGTGAATGTGGCAGAACCAACTAGTGGACTCTTGAAGCACATGCAGAACTCATGTTCTATCATATATTCCTCCCCATCTAGAAATACCAATGGATGCACCTTTCTTCTGTCACCTGTTTTACTGAGATTTGTCAGTGGCAGCACCCATGCTATGGGATTCCCTTCCCAGAGACATCTCTTTGGCTCCTTCACTTGCTATTTCACCAAGAATTAAAGATACTTTTTTCAGGTGGCCTTTTCTCCTGCCTAACAACTTTTTTGTGTATGTATTTTGAAATCTTGGCAGATGGTTTTTAATTGGTTTTAACTGCTGCAATGTTGCTTTTTGCACACTTTGTATTGCCCCCCCCATTTTCAGCATTTCTCACTTGTTCTACCATGAGGCTTTACAGTTTTATTCTTGTTCAATCATATGTTGTCTTGAATATACTGTTGAAAAAAATATCAATAGGTGAAATCAGTGCACTTGCACACATGTTTGCTTCCCTTTTATTATAGACGTGTAATGTGGGGGTGGAAGAAAGGATTTGAAAAAGGAACGGAGATGAATGGGTTAACTACAGCATGGTTAACTGTGCTGACAGGTATGGCTAAAGCAAAGTAAAAAAAAAAAGTGAGTGAAACTCAAGAAGGAAGATTTTAAAAGAGGTATCCTAAGGGATAAAGATGAGGAGGCCATTGTAGGCATAGAGAACAGTGGCAGAAGACAAAAATCAAAAGTAAAAGCAGGAAGCGAGGGAGGTGGTGGCTAATTAATTCCTGGGCTTATCTTGGGCCCTAAAAGAAGCCAAACTCAGAACACCAGAAGCTCTTCTCTGGATATGTCCTGAATTATAATGCTGTGATTTGTGGCGCATATGTAATGCGACTGAGAATCCATTTATTTGGGGTATGAGCTCAAGAGACTCACATTGAAGTTAAATTTCAGAGGCAATTCTCAACAAGTTAAGAACAAAACTATAAGTGACTTATTGGTAGATATGTGTAAATATTAGGAATGTTGGAAAATTACTATGAGAACAGAAACAGGAGTGGAAATTGCTAGTGTTCCCTTGTTCGTCCCATCTCTGAAATGGAAATCAGTCCAGTGAATACAACTGGCGTTTTGTTGCTGCTGTTGCTTCTAGTGTACAAATGATACACAACTAATTATGTTTGCCTCCATTTGCCTTGCATTGGCCTTGCATGGAAATGAATGGGGTGGAATCACATAATGACCTAAGGTATGACATCGGTGTAAATTATGAAATAGATTACGTAAATTACATTATTTTGTCACGGCGGAAAGCGAGATGAATAACATAGCTTCTGAAGTAAGGCCCCTAGTAAATGCAAAAGTCTTAACTGTTAAAAGCATACTGTGCGTTAGCCTTACATAAAGGAATAGCAACAAGGTCAGGATATCTGCCTGGAGATATTCAGACTATTTTAGAATCAGAAGTGGTCCAAGGTGAAGCAGGCTAGCTCCAAGGCTTTGAAGCTGCTTTAGCACTTGGGAGGACGTTGGTACCTGTTCCCCCCAATCACCACCCCCAGAATCCCCCCAATTCTCTATAAATAGAAATTTCCAGGCAGAGAGGAAAGGGGAATCCTGAAGAGGAGTATGGTTCTTTGATGGACAGCTCTGACGGACAGAATTACTTCATTAAGACGGCCCTTTTGTTTCAAATCACAGTGCTTTGGGGAGGATGTAGAAAGACTTTGACTTCAGTACAGACTGAGCAGAAAACAAAGTAAGTTGTTTTTAAAAGCTTCAATTACACTTTTTAAAATTCATCACTCCCTAAACCCTGCGTCTATCCTCCTGAAATTTTGCACAGAACCTACCTAAGGGCACCTCTGTATTGTATGTCCCTACTCATGCAAATTCTGAGAGCTCCCATGCATGCAGAGTTACAATTCCCACAGTTCCTTGAGTAGAGCAATTGATAGTTAAAATACTTTGAGAAGTGGAGCTGTGTGAGGGGAATTGGAGCCTCCTAATAACTCTCAGCACCCTTAACAAACTACAGTTCCAATGATTCTTTTGTCATGCATGACTGTTAGAAGTAGAATAGCGCTTTGAAGGTTTGGTGTAGTTGTAGCCTAAGAGTGCGGAATAAAAAGGAGGAAATTTGTGACCCACCACATTGGGATGTGAGTTTGGTGGGAACAGAGGACAGGCCTTTGACTGTAGGAGTCCAGCCCTCCATCGCTGCCTACTTTTAGAACGGCAGTAAAAATGTTTGGCTCTGCATAGCTTTCAATAGTTTCAACGATGCTTTGATTTTGCTCCTCCTGGTTCTAAGATATTTTCCGGTCTGTCCTTCATCTGGCTTATTGTTTAAAAATGGCTTTCTTCTTCAAGTATTTCAACTATTTATGTTCAACTTTTCATTGGGGGAAAAACCCACCCAAGTAGTTTACAAGCAAATCAAAAGTAAACACTGTGTAGAAAACAATAAAACTGATAGTGCATCAAAATCCATACGATGGGATTCTATTCTTCAATACCTGCAGAAGTTCAACACCTACTAAGGCACCCATCCCTCAATCAGGCTACACCTGCGCACATTCCTCCACTTAAACCCACCCACACCCATAAACACAATTTCTCTCACTCTTAACGGTTGCCTTTAACGTCTTCACTTTTACGCATTGCATTTGGGGGCTTTGTTAAGACCAAAAGATGGTTTATAAATATTTTTTTATAAACGAATAAATTCATTTAAAAAACTAAAGCAAGGATGACAAGAAATGTAATACATTTAAGAACACACACACACCCGTTTTATGCTACCTTCTCTCAGAGAACAAAGCAACTCCCTAGAAATTCATGGCTTTTGTGACAGAAACTGTAAGTAGGTGGCAGGGGAGGGGGAAAAAAGAATTCTAAAGAGGGAAATAGCTTTGTCTTGTCTCTTCAGTTACTGCAGAAAGAAACATTTCAGAGTCGGATCTCCGTTACACGTAGCTCACAGAACCAAAATTCCTGGATAGCTGAAATTTCCTACGTGACCTCTACATACTGCCATGATCAATGTTAGCCTATCTCGGCATCTGATTATCCAAATGTTTTGGCTCTCCCTAGGGCCGTTTAGTTAAATGAGGCAGCACAGTATTTAAAAATGTACAACAGTGGAAGGAAACTGGTTAAAAAAAGCTAATAAACACCCACTCAACCATCCCACATCATCATCTTCTGCTACACTTCACCTCCAGTCATAACAGTGTGTTTTACGCTTACGCCTACAGCTCCCAGTTGGGGACACCAGCTGTAGCTTGCTTGCGCTCCTCTAAGCCACAAAGCAGAGAGGCCCCGGCACAGCCGCGCAGAGCGCATTCTCCATAGCCCCGAGAACTACGACTGCCAATCTGTGCGGCATGCTGACAGAACGGGGTTCGTGCGCCGTGAAGAATAAATGAAATAATTACAAGGCACCCACAGCACGGGAGGATTCCCAACTGTTAAGTCACTGTACAAACGAGCTGTTTGGGGCTCACTTCTTTCCAGCAAGCCTTCAGTGTGTGGGGCAGGGATTATGTTCTTGTTGAAATCTCTGCAGTACAGTAGTGACCCCATAAGGTGTGTGGTGTACGGAGGCTCTAGACCACCTGCCAAATCTGCAAGACCATCATATACAGTAATTTTGTCATGCATTCTCTTTTCTCTGACAGATATGCGCCATGTCTGAATTTCCCAGAGACATGCACTGACATAGTGTTATCGGTTTTGCATGTCCTATGCATCCTGACTTCCTGCTATGTTCTGGAGTGCTTCTGGCTGCTTTGCCATGAAGAGTCCTCATCGCCAGTTGTAGACTTTTCTGTGCTAGCTACTGTTTGTTCTCTCTCTCCCTCCCTCCCTCAGCACTTCAGTTGTTTATGTTTAAGAGCAGAGTGGTAATGTAAAGGCTCTCCTACTGCTGGTGTGCACTTTTGGTTTATTACAGTTTCTCGAATGATTGCTCTCCAAAGTGGAACTTTGTGGATGTTTCCAGAAACACGGGCTTACCATATATAAATGTCACTGTTAGCAGAGCGGACCGAGGTGACAGATGGAATTGCTTTGCTTTGTGTGCGCTCCCTCTCGTCCACATCTGTTTGGGATATTCTCTGGATGTAAGATTTAAGTGGTAAGCTTACATATGGAACTACATCATATGGCATTATTACTAGCTTTTTTAAAATTTTTAATCTTGCTGCATTATGGCAGGTAATGTAAAAAAGCATGTGTGAGAGCAGGGCCACAAAGCATAAAACGAAAGCAGAGACTGAAAGGCAAATGGCTGAACTGGGAGAGCCCCACAAAATGTATTTTGCACAAGGCCCTACAATGAAGAATGGCTGCCATTGCTGCATCGGGTGTTAATGGATCATTCAGGCACTTCTGTTGTAAGCCACATCTGAACCAGAAATTTAAAGCATTATTATACCACTTCAACAGTCATGGCTCCCTCCAATGAATCTTGGGAACTGTAGTTTGGGAAGAGTGTTGAGATTTGTTAGGAGGCCCCTATTCTCCTCACAAAGCTGCAAAGCTGGATTTCCTGTGAAAAGAGAGTTACTATTGAACCACTGTGAGAGCTATATAGTGCGGATGTGGCCTTAGAAAGGAAGAGAAAGTATTTTCTCTCAGAAGAGGCTGCGTGTTGTCTGGGGCCTTACTCTGAAGCACCTTAAACTTAGGTGATGGAGTGACGGTTGAAGCTGGTTGGAGCAGTGAGGAACAGCAGCGTGCACACAGAACTTGCACACAACGCCACCCGAGAAAGCACACACACAGACATAGAGGTTGAGTTCTTGCATAATTGTCATACTGTGTCACATAGGTGCCAACTCCCTGAGTAAGCACCCACAAAATTCCCCATGAAGAGGCTGGGTACCCACAAATTTCAGTGCCAGAGACATGGCCCCAGGCACCCATGGTTGCGGGGACAAGTTGGCACTCCTGCTGTGTCATTTTGTAATGGGTGGAGGTAAATACTTCCATAGCTACTGTTTGGCCTAGAAGGGGAACTGCTAGTTATAGCCCTCCACAACTTCCCTCCTGAGGAAATAGCAGTTTTAGGGAGGGGAGGGGTGTTGGAAAAACAGTTTGAAGAGAAAAGTCAATCCCACTTCCTTCACTGTAGTCTCAAACTGGATAGGGAGCTCCTGGAATCCCCCCCCCCCAAAAAAAAATTAAATGAATCCAAATGTGATCATGCATTTCACATGTTGCCCTTAAAGTAAATCATCTCAGATGTAGAAGTGAAGTGTGCCTCTGGGAAAGAAGTGTGCTTCACCCAACACTCTCTCTGAACAAGGAAGACAGAAAGCTGTTAGCTAGAGTAACCAGAATGCCACTCTTTAACGTGGACAAATGCTCTTTTGCCTTTAATGGCTCACTGGCCCAGGAGTATAGCCTTTTCTGTCCATTGATAAGTACAACCAGTGTGATGTCCAACCTGGACTGGCAGGAGAGAGAAGCCATGCCATGAAGCTCTGTAAGCAACCTTGGAGGAGAAACCACTTCATTTCCTAGCAGAGCATTCCCAAGTAAAGGAAGCTGGTCAAGTTTACACCAGTTTAAGTTGCAGTGATGTAAATTACCCTATTCCAAACTCCATTTGGGAGCAGTGTACTGCTTGCTGAGCCCACCTGAGCCTTGCAGAAGGAAAGCAAGGCTCTGAAACAGAATTTGACTTACACCACCCTTTTTTACTAGTGTAAATTCCCCTCAGTTACCAGGTCATGTGCCTGAACTGAAATTGGTTTGGAATAGGTGTAAGTCTCCCACCTCCTGCATGCCCAGCTTTTGGACTTAAGTGAAAGTTCTTCTGGGTGAGCCAGCATAACCCGGTTGAGATAGCTACACTGGTCTAGCCCCATCTGAACCAAGACAGCCCAAGATCTGCCTATTCCAAGCTCTCACCCCAGTGATTCTTTGGTTTGAACCGTGCTGTAACCTACTTAAAAACAACAACCAAAAAACAACAACAACAAACTGTTAAGATAACAGCATAATTTCCATATGTACCACCCAAGAACCTTGGATACAAATATGATAGATAAATAAAACATACACCTCCTGTATTTATTCCATCAAATAACTAGTAGAAGAGAGTCTTTCCCACTTGGAACAATACAAAAAAAATGCCCATGTGCAAAAATTGTGCATTTTCTTTTTCCTGCTTTTGCATCCTGTTTCCAGATTAATCTTATGCAGAGTTAATTGAAATTAGCGGGCGTAGGTGCACCTAATTCTCCATAGGATGGCAGCCTTAATAGGGTATTTATGAGCATCAGTTCATCTGCACTTTCTGAAAGAGCAAATGAAAGAGTTATTTCTACATATAAATGTGTGCATATCATATTTTTAATCTATGAAAGGACAAGTAGCATATCATAGGAAGCAGGGCATCTGCTTGATACAGTGACCAAATATGAATATGCAGAGACATAGAGGGAATTTATTACAGAGTTAAAATGAGAAAGTGTCAAAATAAAGAAAGGAAAGAAATCAATATTTTGAATCTGAGAACATTTGAGTTCTGACTGGTTTTGTTTTGGCGGGGGGGTGTTTTAACCATTGTGTGTAACACACGCACACATACCATAGCTGTCAACTTTTCCCTTTTCTTGTGAGGAATCCTATTCAGAATAAGGGAATTTCCCTTAAAAAAAGGGAAAAGTTGACAGCTATGGTATGTGTGTGTCAACTTTTGAAAAATCAAAGGCGTAAATTTTGAATTCTGCAATCCAATATGCTAATCTGACATGCTCTTCCTTGCCTCTTTGTACTCTGACAGGTAGCAGCCTATAGGACACCAGCCATTTACCAGCAACCGAAGCAATGAGTAACGGATTCATAGGACCGATCAAATCATAATAATCCCACCACAGTTAAGAATCTAAGCACCCTGCCAGATGAGACCTAAGGGCTATCTAGTCCAGCATCCTATTTTCCATAGTGGCCTCTGAAAGAGCCAAGCAAGATAGGAAGGCAATAGCCCTTCTGCTGCTCTCATTTCCCAACAGATGGCATTGAGAGGTATGTGGCCCCTGATCCTGGCCATTGAGGGGTATATCCTGGGGAGAGGTGGTGTGATTGGCATATAGCCTGGGGAGAGTCTCAAAGGCCAGTCAAGGAGACCTGGAGGCCAATGGAGCCCTCCAGGTCTCTGAGGTTCCTCACCTCTGAACGATATGGTGTATGAAGAAGTACTTCCTTCTCTCTGTCCTGAACCTCCCACCAATCATCTTTATTGGATGAGCTCAGCTCCCAGTACTATGAGAGAGGAAGAAAAACCTCTCTGGAGGAAATGAAATTGGTGCATTCACACCATTAAGGGGTATTTTCAAGCTCATGTCCAGTTGTAGACTGCAAAGTGTTACTGGAATTAGATTTGCATGATTTGGTATATTTATATTTTTAAATTAGTATTATATTACTTCATAGAAACAGTATATTGAACCATTTAGATATACACAATCATATATATATATATATATATATATATATATATATATATATAAAATAATTGATAATAATTTATTATTTATACCTCACCCATCTGGCTGGGTTTCCCATATAAATGCCTGTCCCATATCTGTTTCTACAGGCCCAGCAGGTGCTATAACTCCCTAATGGTGAAAAACTCTGGAAACTCTGTGACACCCCTAGTTGTTTTATTTCAAACGTTTATGAGCAGATTTGTCAATAAAAATAATATACCAAGTGACATACCCAAAATAACAAATAAAGGTAGCAGGAACAAGAAATAATTACCACCTCGTAAAATCTCATAAAATTTAAGAGCAGAAGTAAAACACATTTTAAAATAATAAAATACAATTAAATAGCGCTAAGACAATAAAATTAAAGAACTATTAAGAGCCATTTAAGGCACCAGTGAGCAAATCCGTTTTATGAAAGTCTGTGGAATGCTGAATGAGTTGGTGTCTCCCAGGACACTCTTCAAAGAGTGACAAGGTCTTCTCTTTGGTCACCACCTGCCTGGTTTCACCCGGCAAAGGAAACTTGAAGGATCTCTGGTGCAGATCTTAAACTCCAAGCAAGTTCATACAGGAGAATGCTGTGTTCCAAGGTCTGCAAATCTTAGCAGGATCTGGACTCACACTACACTTAGTAGAGCTATAGGTTTATTTCAGAGTTTCTTCCTTGCATAGGAGTGCTTTTTAAGTTTTTCTGTACAGTCATATTTATACAGTTATACATTTATACACTTTCTCCCAAAACTTAGTGAGAATTGGACACTGTAAGAATGTATCTTTCAAAGAGGCATTATCCTTATTACTTCTCCAAGAATGAGCTGCGTTAGACAGTCCTTCTCTATACAAATTCAACGGAGTTGTCCAATAGATTCCAAATATTATTTTCTGTTGTGTAAGTCTTAGTTTGAGATCCACCGATACTTTGCTACAGAAGCTAAGAGACTGTTCCACTGTCTAGGTAGTAGAGAACATCCAATTCTTTATTCCAATCGTTTCTTAAAGTCTGTATATCAAACTTACTAATTAATAACAAATAGGAAATGATTGCTTTTTTTTTTCTTTCAAAAGACTTGACCAATTGTTCTAATATCTCCTGTGTCTCAGAAGCTGAGAATGTAGGAAAAGCATGGAAGCCAAATTTGATTAATAGAATACCTGGCCTCTAGTGGGCGGGGCTTTTATGCTGTACTCTAGAATTGGCCCCTCCCTTCAGGTTGTCAGTTAAAAAAGGATAACTGTCACTTACCTTAAGATGTTTCATTTCTCTTAGTATGTTACTATGTTACATTTTTCTACTATTAAAGCTTTGTGTGTGTGTGTGTTTACTTCGCAGGATGAAAAGACAAACTCTGCGAAAGAAGAAGGTGGAATATCTTACACTGGATCAGTGAGGAGATATTTCCCTGACAGGAGGACTGGTTTTTAGTCACCTCCCCACCCACAAGAGAGAAAGCTGCTGGTCCAAACACTGTTGTTACAAGATGTTGTAGCTGCAGTTATTGCCATTGGGATGCATCTGATCATGATATTTATTTCTTAAAACACTGTACATATAAAATTCATCTTCCTCATCCATCAGTTGATCCAAAGTCAATATGCCCGCTTCCACCTAATTTATCCATATTACCAGGGACTTCCGGGTTGGCGTCTCTGGCAATGGCGGATTTCCTCCGATCGGGAGGAATCCGCTCCGTGGAAAACAGGGTCTGAACCGCCACGGAGAGGCGGAGACCCATCAAAAACCACAGGTGGGAGAAGCCTGTGGACGTGGGATTCGGCTGGCACCTTTGCGCCTCCCCTACTCGCGGGGAAACCCGGTTTCGGGGATCCGGAGCGACATGGGGTGAGTGGCGTGGTGCTTTGAATCGACTGCTTCTTTCACGGAGTGAAGCCGCATTGCTGTTGCTGGAGAGCGCTGACTTTTCCTTCTGGACAATTGGATTTTTAACAACTGCCCGTGAGTAGAACAGAAAATTGGATTAAGAAATTTTTTAATTTGGCATTGAAGTGGGAAGGTCTAAACAGGAAGTCCGCCTTCCACTTTTGTAGATAGATTGAAGCAAAGATGCGGCAAGCTAGAGTTTAGAAAGTTGTCTGTAAAGGACCAAAATTCCATCATTTAAAATTACTGAACCCCCCTTGGAAGCAGGAGAAGAGGGGGGAACCTTTTTTTAGACTGTTTAAACCTGCAGAAGAGAGAGTAAAGAAAGGCAGTTTTCCACCGTCTTGAACCTGGGAGCGGGGTGTCAGGACAGACGTTCTGGGGAAGTTCATTGACTATGGACAAATGTCTTTGACAGATAGTTAAAAGAAGAGAAACATATTGATTCCATTGTTCCCCTTCGCATTTAAAAGGAACAAAATATTGACAAAATATCTGAAAAAGGAAAACTTTGTTGCTAGATCTGCTTTTTTTTTTTTAAAAAAAGGATGGATACAAATAGAAATTGTCTCCCCTAGAGGGAGCTTGTGAAACTGTTATTAAAACCGAACTGGGAAGCTTTGCAGCTGTAATAGATTAAGATCGTGGGACCAGACTTCAACCTTGAACAATAATGTACTCGGAGGCTCTGGTGCTTGCCTTTTGCAAGACAAGTGCTTTATTGGAACAGTTACATGAGAAGATGGATTTGATGACTGTTGCGATTGGAAATTTTGGACAGGCAGTGGGTAACTATATAGAACCCACTCAGGAATTAATCCAGGAATGTGCTTTGACAGATGAGATGAAGGAGGAGGTTGTTGCTGGACCTCAGGTGGCAGAGATGGAGGGAGCTGTGGCCCAGCAGGAACATGAGTTGTTGGATTTGACGAATGAACCTGGAAGGGGTCAGATTTGGAGAGATGGAGTCCTGTTTGGCTTGGAGATGGGGGGCTGGATGGACCCGCCTATGCAGGGATGTTTTGATTTTGATTTTTATTTTTCAAGTCTGGCTTTGGGCTGGGGGGAGCTCGGAGTTGGGGGGGCCTTTAACTTTGGAGGGGCCTTGAAACATGCCTTCAAATACCATGTGGATTTCAGTGTTGACTATGGAAAAGGGGCCGACTTGTCGAGAAGGGACAAAAATATTGTCAAGCTGGAGTCTCCCTGAGTGAAAGGAGCAGAAGACAAAGCAAAGTACAGGTATAAATATGAAGAAGACCTGCGGAAGGGCCATGGAAGAGACTTAAGAGCCTTGGACATAAGGTCACCAGGTTGATGGACTAGATGGATGGGATAGAAAGGACTGACAAAACCCGAGACCAGGAAGAAGAGACGATGGATGAAGATTGGAAGAAAGTTTTAAAAATTCATTTAGAAAAGTATTGTAAAATTAATGAGTATTAGAAAAATGTTGGAATGAAATTATTGGGCTTTAGCAGAAATGTTAAAAAGAATTATGTAAGAATATGTAATGGTTAGGAGAATTTGGTATAAATAAGATCTAAGTTTTAAGTTTTAGGATTTTTTATGGTAAGATAAGGTTAAAATAGATTGAGGTAATTTAATGACAGAATATTGTGAAAGATGGAAAGGATTTGCTGAGATAATTAATAACTAGAATACAAAGAAGGGAGGTGTGAGGAGGTCGATGAAATAAGGTAATGACAGTTAAGGATTTGGGAATATTGGATTTGTTTTTAAATTTTTTGTTTATTTTTGCTTTTTGATTTTGATGTACTGTGTGTTTTGTTTTTTCTTTTTGACTTTGGTTTTTATTGATTTGTATTGTTTAATTGTTACTTTTATCTACTTTTTTCTTTCTTTTTTTCTTTCTCTTGTTTTTTCCTTCTTATTTCTTTGTAACCTTAAAATTCTCAATAAATATCATTAAAAAAAAATAATTATCCATATTACCATCTTTTCCCACAGTTTTTAAAATTGGGTTTCTCCACGAAGTTAATTTAGTGTGGAGAAATGGATCAAATTTGTTTTTATTAGGCATTATATTCCATATCTTTCTAATGGACTTGTTTCAAGAGTCTCCCAAATTCTCAAATATTTTTATCCTAATCTTTGGTCCAACCAACCAAAGGTGTTGTATGTGTATAGTCTAAAGTTGCCCAAGTTAGATAGTTAGCATCAGATATAGGTTTCCAATATTTTATACTTGACAATAAGTAAACATGATGGTATGGCTCAAAATCTGAAATACCAAATTCATCTTCATTCATTTGTAGTTGCATTTTTGGCAGGGTATTTTTGGAGTCGTTGAAGCCCAAAGAAATTTCTTGAACAAACAAACATTTTTTTTTAAAATATGCTCTTTTGCAATGCTGCCTTTAATTACAATGACAATATTATAAAATAATTAGAAGAATAAAGGCCAGCAGCCAAGTTTATTCATTATAAGTTAGGAGGAATAATAATATCAAAAAGCCCTCTGACTAGACAGCATCTCAGTACTATAGGTTGAGGAGTATGACTTGTCAGCCATGCATGTAGTCTGAGCCTAGAGCAATCAAGTCCTGACCTCCATTACACAAAGATTTCACACAGTAGACTAAGTATTTCCAAATTATTTGTATAGAAACACAAAGATGGATTTGCTAAAGCCACACTTGGAGTGATCTCCCAGACATCCTTCCTGCTCGGTTACATGGTGGAAAAGAGAGAGAGAGTTTTGATATAACTCGCTCGCTGGATGAACTCAGAGGCTGTGAAAACGGACGAAGGATTAACATCGGATTGATTTATGGGAACCACCTGGACTAATTGAGAAAGCAGGGCAAATGTGAGATTATGGCAATCCTCCGACCTCAGAGCATGGGAAGTCAAACAAAGATTTATGATTTGGCTTAATATTTGGACTGTTTGATTATTTTACAATTCAGAATGTCTTTAATGTGGCCTTTATTGGATTGTTAAACTGGAAAACTTAATAAATATTTTTTTTAAAAAAAAGAAAAGAGAGAGAGAGAGAGAGAGAGAGAGAGAGAAGCAAAGAAACTTGACTTCCTTCCTTCCAAGGTGAGGGATGTGCCCTAGTTAAGTCTAGGAAAACAGCTTCTCTATGGTCTTAACTAGAGCTAAGCATGCTGGTTATATGAGGCTGATTTATCTCACAACTAAGTGGTGACATGATAGAAGTGCATAACATGCATAGCATGGAGAAAGTGGATAGAGAGAACTTTTTCTCTCTTATAACTCATGGACATCCAATGAAGCTGAATGTTGTAAGATTCAGGATAGATAAAAGAAAGCATTTCTTCATGTAGTTGCAGGCTTCCTCAAACTCAGCCCTCCATATGTTTTAAGACTACAATTCCCACCATCCCTGACCACTGGTCCTGCTAGCTAGGGTGATAATAGCTATGTTCTGCCTCCACTATCAGAGACAATATGGTTCTGAATACTAGTTGCTGGAAACCCTAGGAGGGGAGAGTGCCCTTACGCTCAGGTTGTGCTAGTGGACTTCTCTAGGAACTAGATGGGTCATTTTCCTGACCCAGCAGGCTCTTCTTATGTTCTTATGTGTGTATTATGTATGTCTTCCAACTTGGATAGCTTCATACCACAATAACTTTGCTAATATATGCACAGCTTCAAATTTCTGATTATTGCATTTTGAAAGTGGATCTGTGTCGTACAGTGGTACCTCGGGTTAAGTACTTAATTTGTTCTGGAGGTCCATTCTTAACCTGAAACTGTTCCTAACCCGAAGCACCACTTTAGTTAATGGGGCCTCCTGCTGATGCCACGCCGCTGGAGCACAATTTCTGTTCTCATCCTGAAGCAAAGTTCTTAACCCGAGGTACTATTTCTGGGTTAGCGGAGTCTGTAACCTGAAGCATATGTAACCCGAGGTACCACTGTACTGTGCAAAATACCCAAGTGCAGGGCATTTGTGGAGGGCAGCTGGCTGGCCACCAAATCCTTTATAAACAGCTGGTCCCCCTTCTCCCTGCTTGCTTTCTGCACTATTCTGAGGAACCGATCTTTCATGAAGAAGCAAAGTACATGTCAAAGGTTGTGTAACTGTACATGTAGGGCATCATGATATTGTTTACGATTTAGCTGGCATCTTTATAGATCAGAAATATGGCTGGTCTTTCATACCCTTCATGAAGCAGAAGCCAGAAGACGTATGATGCTTTTAGAACGATGACAATGAGAAGGCATCTGTAAGAAGATTCACAGACAGGAAAAATAGGCAACAGGCAACCAGCCCCAGCATGGAGTCTCTAGATAAGTAGTTTAATTGCCAGACTGCATTGCTTGGAAGGAGAAGGAAATCTAAGCTAAATTAAAAGATTAGAGAGAGACATTTTTTTCATCAAGTGGCAACAAATAGAAGAAATGGTCGTCTGCTCAGGAGAAAATAAGAAGAAAGGAGCTGTGAATGTTGCAAAAATACATCCATTAGGCCTGTGTTATCAAAACGTGCCTGTGCCCCTGTATCCAGCCGTACATTTCCATAGCAACAAGGCCTTGTCAACAGAGAAGAAAGTGTTTTTGTCAGGGATAGGCCCAAACGCATAAAAGCCATTTCTATCTGGGAGCAGTACAATCCTCTTAAATCAATACAGCACACGTAGTAATTGCACTCACCATTTCTCCCATAAATCTTCACTTTTACCCCTTTCATTTCCTGCAACTTGTCATCATATGAACTAGAGCTGGTTTTACCTGCTTTCTGCAGTTTTGATTGCCCCTTACCGTCTTCCATAGTAAACAGGTTCTATGTTTGGAAGATAAGCCATTTCCTCCATGCCTAGATAGAAATGTTGTGTAGAATAGTTCCAAGCTGGAGGTCTTCACTTTATTGTCTTCCTGGTGTTTCTTTCAAGACCAAGGGCACCAGTTCTAGCTCCTAAAAGTGCTAGTGGTGGAACTCACCTGTACTGGAATGCAAGTACCGACTCTGGGTTATATTCAGGGCTGCAGCTCTGATTGCACAAGACTCCCATGCACACAATGGAACTTCCTCTTCCTCTACAGTCAAAGGTGGATTTAGGGGAGCAGGGCCTTGGGGACACCACAATGAAGATTTAGAATAGAGCATGAGAGGTGGGGGGGGGCACTGAATTTTGGTACCACACAGATAGATTCCAAGGTCTGCCACTGTCCTCTGACCAAAAAGCTACAATTTAGTTTCCAATTAAGGTTTCAGATGAAGGTTTCTTGAGAAACATATCCTATTGAAATGAAAACCAGTAATAAGACACTTCTTACTTTGAGGGACCTAATATATACAGTGGTGCCTCGCAAGACGAAATTAATCCGTTCCGCGAGAGTCTTCGTCTAGCGGTTTTTTCGTCTTGCGAAGCAACCCCATTAGCGGCTTAACGGATTAGCGCTATTAGCGGTTTAGCGGCTATTAAAGGCTTAAAGGCTTAGCGGATTAGCTGCTAAAAGGCTATTAAAGGCTATTAAAGGCTTAGCAGGTTAGATAAAGGGGGCAAAAAGCGAAAAAAAAATCTCAAGACTTGCAAGACATTTTCGTCTTGCGAAGCAAGCCCATAGGGAAATTCGTCCTGCGAAGCAACTCAAAAACGGAAAACCCTTTCGTCTAGCGGGTTTTCCGTCTTGCGAGGCATTCGTCTTGCGGGGCACCACTGTATAGGCAATTTCTGATGTGTTGCAAATAACATAAATACCATAAGAACCAAACCTGGTTGCTTCCGCTGGGAGCTTAAAAAGTATGTTTTAAAGTATCTGATATTTAATCAGATTTCCCCTAGAATGGTGGCTGTTGTTTTGAGACTTGGATCAGTTATTATCAGCTTTTCAGCATTCAGTACCATTGGCAGCCTGTAAAGGATAAGAATTAGAGGAGATATAATGATTATGACAGGAACACTAACAAGACAATATCTTGCATCTCAGAGAGCCCCACATTTTGACAGATGGAAATGAAAATGTTAATTTGGAAGTGAAGTAGAAAGAAATAATTCCTAACACACATACTCAGTGTGGTTCAAAGAGAATGAGATGCGGGGGAAGGACACATTGTTCTAACCGACAATGCTTTTTTTTGGGGGGGGGGGGACTGCCGGCCCAGAAATGTATCGTTCCTACCACTGACTTATTCCTATCTCAAGGCACCCTCAGCATCAGATATTATGAAAATGCAGTGGAAGAGGAAGGATTAGAAGTATGTACTGAGTGAAAAGCATAATTGATTAGTAGAACTCATGCTTTGCATGTAAAAGGTCTAGTGCCTTCTATGTGTGCCCACTGTGGTAGTTAAATGCACCAGAAACACATAGCTCATTCCCTTTGGTGAGATGGCCTCAAGACTGCCTGTAGCTAATTAGCGTAGAGAAGGTACTAAAAAATGAGGGCCCTATCCTGCTGAACAAGGAGAATCCCATTCCTTGAAACATAACATGGAAATTACTGAGAGGTTAAAGAATATAGCCGTATAAAATGCCACTGTAATGATGAGATCATCTCATTATCTTTCCCCACTTTGAAAGTTATATATACAGGACTTCCCCTGCCCCAGCAGGAACTCAGTTCCGGCACCTCATCTTTCCCTCGCTCTCATCCTTCAGTCACCTTTTGTTTCATTGGGTCCTTACAGTGGCATCACCCATCTGTTACTTGTCTTTTAGTTGACATGTTTGAAAGCTGTCGCATATAAAACAGAAGTTGCTCTTTATGGGTCTACAGAATTAAAGTGTACCTCTGTTCCCTTTAGGAAAACACAGAACTACTTGGAACATAACGTTCAATTATTGGCCCTAAAACGCACTGCATCTGGAGAAAGGTTACGGCAAGATTATGATTTTTGGAAGAGAACCCAGCAGTCTTTTGTGGGAATGACAAAAACGCCCATCTGCTTTGAAGCTCACAGAACGTTTGGTGCATTATTGATGGGTATTCTTTATTTGAATTTTTTTAAGCAAAATGTGTGAACTGCATAATCAAAAGATAAAATAATTATCAATAATAATTATTATTATCAATTAACAAAAAAACACACACAAAAAACACACCCCAAAACAAGTATGCATAGCTATTTGTTTTCTGGGTAGGCTTGCTGAAATGAAGCAGTTTTTCTTTTCTTTTTTATCAGGCATCTAAAAAAATGGTGCCTGTCAAAGGGAGGGCAGGGTGTTCCAAAGCATAGGTGCTGCCACACTGAAAGATCAAGTCTTCACAGATGTGGAACAAACATGTGGCATTTGTAAAAGTGCAAGTTCCATAGATCAAACCAATTGAGTAGGTATGTATGGGGCAAAGTGATCGTTCAAATAAACTGGTCTGAGGCCACAGGATACAGTGTTTGCATTGAAGTTTCACAGAGAAATGGTTGTACCCACTGATCACCAATTTAAACTATTGGAAACTTGAAAGCAAAACCAATATGCCTGTGATGATATGATTATTTACCTGTTATTTGTTGTCCTCACTAGAAGGTTTTGCTCTGTGAATAAATAAAATAAATGAAAATATCAAAAGTTTTTTTTTTTAAAACAACTGGAACTCCTCTTAGAGGTTATATTAATATTTCTGTGTTTGATGGATATGTGAATTATTGATACTGTTCTGTTTTCATCAAACACCATAGCTAACCCAAACTAAACTTGCAAAACAAGCCTGCAAATGGTCAATTATTAATCATTCAATTATTTGTAATTTCCCAACAAATTTTGCTCTACAGTTTCGATGGGCTTTTCTTTGAGGAGCCAAATCTGGACACTATGGTATCAACATGGATTCACACAAGCAGCTGCATAGCGTAGAATTTGGGGGCATGTGGAAGGGCTGCAGGGAACTGTAGAGGAAGGAAAGGCCCTGTTGCATAAGCTGCAGTAGATAAAAACATAAGATGAGCCCTGCTGGATCAGATTAAAGGCCCATCCTGTTCTCACAGTGGCCAACCAGATACCTCTGAGAAGCCCACAAGACACTGATATTAGGTAAAACATGCCCACTGCTTTATTGATCATGGGCTTAATAAAGGTTAGTGCTACCACAGAGCGTGGATTGTGCAGAGGGCAGCCTGTCTTTTGGCTGAAACTTCATGCTCAGCCTATTGGCTGGGCACTGGAAGTTGCTGGGTATTAGGGTTCCACCCCAGCGTAGACCATTCCAGTGGACCCTGCATAGAAACTGGGTCTGTGGTGACCAACTTCAGCTCTTTGAGATAGAGCTGGGGCTGTGCCAGGGAGGCTAACTCTCCAGGGCCAAGCTGTCTTCGGCCCACCCAATATCTGTTGGGAGGGGGCCATGCCCCCTCAATGTTGAGGGGGTGGAGGAGGGTGAGGGCAGAGCTGAGTGTGGAGCAGCTTCAGTGGCCAGCTTCTTATGAGCACAAGGAGAGGAGGAGCCACCAGGCATTGAAGCCGTCCCACGCTGGGCTTCACACTCAACCTTCTCCCGATGATGCAGTGTCGCTCACGTATCGTGTGCTGGGCACTTTGTGTCAAACACATGCAATGCATGATGCACACATTATGTCACACACACATGCCACCACATGCAGCGGCAGAGGAAGCCGCTTGGGCACCTGGGGCGGGGCGCCAAGGGGCAGGGCGCATCATGGGGCCTCTGGAGTCTGCCTCTCTCCTCCCACTCAGCTGCCCTACAGCTGAGGGGGAGACAGCAGGTGGACCGTTTGGGCAGCGCAGAGCCTGCATGTGCTCCAGCCACTGCGTCTCTCCTAGGAGAGACGTGTGGCTTGGGTGCGCTGCAGGCCCCGCGGTGAGTGCCACCCAGCATTTTGTCACCCCCCAGTGGTGGCATCCAGGGCGGACCGCACCTACCGCACCCCCCTTCCTCTGCCCCTGGCCACATGCTGGGCCCTCACAATCTTGGGTGCAAGTCGGTGCTTCTGGGCCGTTATGGGTTTCTCCCTGTTTGACTATAGATCCTGTCCAAGATTCCTGCTCTACCAACACCTAAAGTTGCAACAGAACAATAACTTGAGAACAGAACTTGGCAGAACTGCTAACCAGTGACTCTGCAGTAAGGCCATTTTTAACTGAGGGTGAGTAGGTGAAGTGACCACAAACAATGATATGGTGCTGGGGAATGGTCCTTAATTTCTGCCCATGGGATGGGCTGGAGAGAGAGAGAGAGAGAGAGAGAGAGAGAGAGAGAGAGAGAGTTCTCTCTCGGACCTACTCTAAGGTTGCACCCCTTTCACTCTGGCCAGAGCCTGGGATTGGTTCCACTTCTTGATCACGCAGTCCTTTTCCACCTGCCTTCCCTATTTCAGTGTTTAGCTTTGAGCTAGTCTCAATGCAAGCGAATGATATCTTCACGTACATAAACGTGGGGATTAATTAGTGCATGCAAAGTGCTTTGGAGTTGTTGATTGAAGGGAGAGATATAAAAGCAAAGTAGTGTATCATGCTCAGTAGCCTTCACCAATTTGGGAAAAGGCACCTGGCCATTAATCAGACAGTTTTAAACCTGTACCCATAGCCACTTATGAATAAATATATGCTTCATATTCACATCTCAGAGTGGCTAGAGACCCTGTCCCTCCCGTCCATCATTAACTCCCTATGTGCTTATCCTCCTCTGATGTATTCATGGTGTCAAGGGCACGGAGGTAACTTTATATCTTTGGTGTGCACATATAAAAGCTCAATGGTGGGTGGCATTATGAGTTTTATTGCCAAGCATGTAATGACTGCCTCTCTTTTGCATGAATGAATTCAGTGGGTGACAGGTATGTAATTCATAGCTTTGTAAAAAGCTTTGAGAGTAAGTGTAAGAAATGTACTATATAAATGTCAATATAATGCACATTTTAAAGACTATGGTTTGAATCACAGAGAGGTAAGTTTGTGGACTGGGGGGGACTGTGATGGTGGGTGGGAAGAGAGAGAAAAGAAACATAAATAGAAAAGGAACAGCAGGGTTTTTTTCTGGGTAATGATGACTGGGGATTTGTGCCACAGTTCCATAAACGCATCTGCTCTGTCTAGAGCACTTCTATGGGCCTCATTACTGGGATATCTGAGTGACTCACAAACATGAAGAAATGTATATCTGCACAAAACAGTAGGGAAGTCTATTACCCTGATTTTACAGAAGAGACTCTGGGGCACAAAGAGATTAAAGAAGCTCTCTGTTGCATTCACAGACAGCAGGCAACAAAGGTGTGGTGTGAACTACATCCCCTGGTTTCGGGCTCAGCACCTTGATCAGAGCAAATGGCATGTGTATGTTTTGGTCCCCCAGGGAAGAGGAAAAAAGACTACAAAATTCATCCTGCTATGAGCCATTCATGGTCCAGCTCTTTCTCCCCTACCACACAAAATGACCTTTGCAGTCACTTGCAATGGAATCTCTGTGGAGCTGTTGGCCAATTCACGTGACACCCCCACCCCAAAATGAATTGTAATCATGGGCACCTTTAGGAAACAAGGCTTGTGAAATTCCAAATAACTGAAAATATTTTTGTGCACACCCCAATGTCCAGGAGCCTCCAGTGACTCAGGGTTTGGTTTTCTTGAAATGAAGGTCAAGGGAGACTGTGGTGCCATTAGGCATGACTTTATTTACACATACATGGAACCTGCACATAGGACTCACCATGAACGCCTCTCTTCTTCTCTTATAATGGCAATGGCACCTATCTGAGAGGTGTCAGAACAAAGTTCTGGTGAGTTCCAGCTGAAAAAAAGCCCTGTATAACAGTATCTAGGAAGGCATGTCAGCTCCAGGGAATTCTGGGTCATGCCTCCCTCCCCGCCATACTCCTATGTCCCACACATCATTCGTGGTGTTGACTTAGATCAGGGGTAGGCAACCTAAGGCCTGGGGGCTGGATGTGGCTTAATCGTATTCTAAATCCGGCCCACAGACGGTCCGGGAATCAGCATGTTTTTACATGAGTAGAATGTGTGATTTATTTAAGATGCATCTCTGGGTTATTTGTGGGGCATAGGAATTCGTTCATTCCCCCCCCCCCCGCCAATAAAAAGATATAGTTCAGCCCACCACATGCTCTGAGATACGGTGGACTGGCCCATGGCTGAAAAAGGTTCCTGACCCCTGACTTAGATAGTAGCAACTGTGTTATCACCAATTGTTCTGTGTATGTAATGGGACTCAGTGCTGTGCTGATCATTCACAGATACATATGGAACTTTCCAGAAGCATAGCTGTATTGGTCTGTGGTAGCAAACACAACTGAGCCTCAGAGACTAAGGATGAAATTCTTAGCTCATCATGGCAGCAGTGGGGCTTAACAGAGCAGTGAAACTTAGGCCAGCTAGGGTGGAAGTGAGTGGGGAAAGACAAATATATTTTATTTCTCTTATGCCGGCTCAGTGGTCTGGGCCCTTCATCTCAACCTGCCAGCAGCAGGGCTGGCTTAGGATCCAGACATTCCTTCACTAGCACAGCTCTGCCCCTTTGTCACTCCAGAATGGCACATATGGGGGATTATGCTAGCAACCACCAGCAGGGATACCATCCGTTGTAGCTTCTACCCAAAGTTTTGGGCAGGGGCATGAAGGGGCAGAGACTGTTGATTTAAAGCAGAGTCTGGCGTGCCCAGCGGAAGGATGAAGAAAATGTGCTACATACTCTATATTGCTTTATTTACAGTTCAAAGCTGGTATATTACAGAAAGACATCTTGCCTCTGCCGGAGCAGAGAAATGCATCCTCTCTCCTCGACAGCTCGGAGAGAATCACACAGTGAAAAACAGGAAACCAGTGTACGTCACATCCAGTCTCCTTTCCCGTGAGAAACTCCAACAGTACAGACTGTGGAATGCAAAACAATGTCTTGTGACTGCAGTTGCTGCTCAGTGAGGAAATAGAAACCAACATCCTCCCCTTTCTGTGAACATCACTGGGCAGCGTGTTCGTACAATATCAGTACAAACCCAACTTCTGCACATAGGTACAGTGTTGATCCCTCGATACAATCTTGGACAATACATCAGCAGGAATTTCATTACCTGGCATATAGGACACCGTTACGAGTCCCTTCTGAATACATTCCCTAGCATGCTGCAACTTTAATTGCAAGTGCTTTGTGCTTTGCTTACAACCTTCAGACTTCAGCAAAGCCAAACATGCTTTGTTGTCCTGGTAAACCTGGATTGGACATTTGACAGGAATTTTCATATCTTTGCACAATTGTACTAACCATTCACAATCCTTAAGTGAATAAGACAGTGCATTCAGTTCAGCTTCACAAGTACTTAAGCTAACTGTTGTTTGCTTCTTGCATGACCAATCAAACAGACCCTGATTGTACATGTAGCAAACTCCAGACGTACTTTTCCTGTCTGTAGCGTCACTTCCAAAACTTGCATCTGCAAATATCTCAAGACCACCAGACTTCTGATTGTTAAATCTCAGTCTGTAATGCATAGTGCCTTTCAAATACCGCGCTATGCGTTTCAGAGCTTTCCAATCCTTGACACTAGGATTGTTGACTTGTCTGCTTAGCAAATTACAGCTAACAGCAATGTCTGGTCTTGAAC